GGGAAGGGAAGGGAAGGGAAGGGAAGGGAAGGGAAGGGAAGGGAAGGGAAGGGAAGGGAAGGGAAGGGAAGGGAAGAGAGAAGAATCCTATACTGCATCTCTGGGGTTATACTCTCCAACTCTCTTACCATAGGTAGTACTGTGGTTTTTGAATATCACTTTCTCATGCCCTGGCCAATATAAGAAGATACAATATTGATACAGACATGCCAAGCTAATATTGAAAGAAGAAGGTCTACTGAGATATGTTTTGCCAATTAAGAAATCCAGTATTGGTAATGGCAGCAGTACACTACCTAATTCCCCCAGAACAGGCTTTGATCCCAACACCGCGTTCAATTTGATCACAAGCCAAGCTGAAAGAAAGAGTCTACGCAGGTATTTGGTTCCACCATGTCCAAGAAAGGCCATAGCAGGATTCTTCTGGCCACTTGGAGCAGCCAGGCGCTTAGCTGCATTTACAGCCTGAGTAAACTGACAGAAGTGAACTGAGCTGTTTTTGCAGGAAGAGGTCCATACCAGAACCATTAGCAAGTCTGACTGAGGCAATTCAGAGACACATGAACGAAAGCTCCTATTGTTATACGTTTCCAAAATGCTTTTCCATTATGGACATAGTTGCTAAATGTGCCCAGAATTCAAAGCTAGAACCTTGCAGGAGAAATACTCTAATGGCCCAGAATACACAAAACTACTTAAAAAGCAATAATGTGATAGCCTACCATTGTTCTCTCAGAAAATCGTATTAGGTGAGGATTCTGACATCCATATAAGAAGGAACATAGTATAATGGGCAATAGTTTAAGTCCATTTTACTTACCCGTTCGATACATACTCTATTATTCTCGGACTGCAAACATGGATATTGGAATGGGAGGGGGGAAGCAGGGGAGAAGAAATGCCAGTCTATGTATATAACTATTTTGGCATTCGGTTTTTAAAATTGAGGCAGTGAGTGACAGAACTGGTACATTGTGCATTGGTTTGATGGAATAACACAGAAGAAAGCCCTTCTAGATCACCTGCAAAATTAGTGTTTTGCTTTTAGCAGCCTGCAACAGATTATTATTTCTAAAGGCTTTAATGAACATGTTTTATCAGTAATAACATTTGAAGACAGTTCTGTCAAAATTACAAGTATAAAAAGGCTTGTAAGAAAATGATAATTATCACTACTTACTGATTCCATACTTTGTCCTGTAATACTCTTTAGTAAATTCATCACAATCACAAAGTATTATCTTCCTTCCCCAAACATTAATTACTGCCCCTATTGTCAGGTCACAGTCTTTGTAAAATTCCTGGTGCACCGCTCCTGTCTAACAAAAGAGAAAGCATTTACAAAGCAGCTTCATAAATCTCATAATCACACACGACCTTCCTTAAAATCAGTGTCATTTAGTGCGTGCAATTTAAAATATAACCATCATATTCCACTTGCAGGTACTTTTCACCCCATGCGAAGCTACCTCCCTTTCACAAACATGGCACACGAAATTGCAGCAGGGCTGATCCGAACTATTCTCCAGTGGCACCACAGTTTTATAAATAACTCTCTTTGTTGGAGAAGATAACAAGCACAGAAATTACAAAAACAACTGTAAGGACACTCAACAGCTGGAGGTATTCAATAATATCTGACCTTACGATTGTCCAGAATGTAACGGCCTTTGTTTCCTACTAAGCCTCCAAACACATTGAGAACAGTGCGGCTGGTGATGGTGCCTGGCTGAAACAGCCCAGGGGGAGCATACTGCAAGAAGAGAAACCAGCTATTAAGAATTACAAATAACAACGAAGAAAGAGATCTCAGTTAACGTACACGTGTTTTTATTTATACACACATCAGTTTTTTTACAGAATGATTTTTATTGCAGTGTTTTCTTGGAAGAATTTTTAGCAACCTCTAAGGTATATTTATGCTTCTGAACATAAAAGTCAGTATTGATGTCAAAAGATACATTCAGAGTGTTATTGTGTATCCAAGAACAAAGGCCACTTTGTCTGAGAAGCAAATATTAGCACGCCAAATAGTATATGCCTGTTAACATCTGCTCTAAAAACCACTATTTTGTTTGGTAACAATGAGATAAATGTATAAAAGAACTACTCAGGTTGGAGTTGTACTGTGCTGGATCCATTACAAATACAGAGAATTCAGTTGAGCATGGTTGTACTGGGGCAAGACTTCTTGTTTCTACTGTAAATTTTCAAATTACAACAGTAATTTATTGCAGTAATACCCATAACATTGCAGTAATACCTTGATATATAAAAATATGGTTTTTAATAGTGAATTGGTGATGCAAGATAACTGAAGTGGGTTAATTTTACACATCGCCTTCCCTAGCACCTCAGCTGGTGTCTGGTTTCTTCTGATGCTCCTCTAATTTGCACCAAATGCAGAAGAAGAATCATAGAATCATTATTGTTGGAAAAGACCTTCAAGACTATCAAGTTCAACCATAAGCAAGTCTTTAAAATTGCAAGGTTGCAATGAACTGCACAGGTAGGAGGGCTCTGTCTGTATAACATCACTCCTACGGCAGTATCTTGGAAAGTAGGATGCATAAGGTGTTTATTTTCCTGGTAGGCATTAAGTGTGAAGTTTCATGTATATCCGTAGCATCACAAATAAATCACCAGTATTAGAAGGAAAGGAAGGAAAAAGATTCTTCGGAGTTTTACTCCAGCTTTAGGTTGATGTTATTTCTGTCACTTGAAGTGATAGTGTTGGACAATATTCATAGAATACTCACATATACACAATATAAGCCTACACATACACAAGTGTATCCAGCTCATTAATTTTATAATCACAAGAGGTTACAGAGGACTCAAACTCCTCCAGGGTTTCTCTGAGTTAAGTCCTCTCCACTCACCATGTGATTAACACCCAGCAAAGTCCATTAATGGATTCCCATTGCTTTAACTAGCTTTGCATGAGGTCCAAACCTAGGAATTCTAATTTAAGGAATTACTGTAGATTTATTTCAAAGAAATACTGAATATGACTTGTTTCAAAGAAATAATGTTACTGAACATGTTACCGTTATTTTCCTCATGACCCAAGAAGAAGTCATATGGACCACATCTGAATTCACCTCAGTTTTTCTATTAATTTACATCCCAGTAACAATGAACTCCTGTCAACTTTCAGTACCACATGTAGCATTAGTTATGCATTTCCATTAATACATTAATATGGGAGAAAGGAAATTCTACGGTATCTCCTTTTACATTAAGCATAATATACTCATCCTTCATTTCCTCTCTTAGCTCCAGTTATTACATAAATAGTTATACAAAAAATAAATCATGCAGTTATAGTTAATACTTCGATAATATCATTAAATATTATATAAATATCATTAGAATCCTAATAAAGTATTTTCCAAAAAGGCATTTAATGTTTCTTAGACAGCAAAAGAATACAAAATAAGTTGAAATTTTCATTCTTCACCTTTGGTAGCTTATCTCTTCTAAGAAAAAGTGGAACTGCATCCCGGCCTGAGTTTACTGGTACGATTTCTTTTATTTCAATAGTATCGTCAGACAGATAATAGTGCAGGACAAGTTCTCGCGTGTCATGAAACATAGATTCTTGGTCATCCCATACACAGAAGAAACGTAAAACATGTCCATCATACTCCAGAAATTGTCTCAAAGTGTCTAAGCGTTCATAAGGGCGCAATGGCTTCATGTTATCCACGATCTGCAGATATAGAAGAAATTCAGGAAAAAAAAAAGGCTTGCTCTTAAAGAAAAATTATTAATCTTAATGGTACAAACAAATATTAGAACTTACTTTTAGGAGTTTCAAATAGTGTCACACACTTACGATACATCAAACACTACACTCAAGCCATTACCAAAGAACTACCCATGCAGCTGATGTGCTGACAGAAAATATTTGAAATTTAAATATTGAAATCTAGATTGTTTTTGATCCTTTTTTTTTTCTTGCAATAAGGTCCTTCTGATCAATCAATTAAAATATTTACAGTATGGCTCCCATTTTCAAGAAAAAATTGCCCATGCTGTTCAGATGACAACTACTTCAAAAATATTGCCCTGATCAATTTCATCAAAAAATATTTATATAAATACTGTGCAATAAAAAGTTAATTTCTTTTTTTTTTCCTTGAGTGCTTTCTTTCTTTAAGTTTTAAAATACAGCTCATGATTAACTTTTGATTCACCTCACACAGTTGTCAGGTACTGTGTATGTATGTTCTCTTAATATACACCTATAGGTCTGAAAAGCAACAGCAGATCTCCAAAGTTATGATGTCTGACAAGATGCTGCCCTCAATCATAGTATCTGCAGCAGTAGGAAAATTCTGGTCCCACGATGATGATCTATCCATTTTCAGAGTTGCATTTACTTGCTGTTAGTTGTCATCATCACATAAATATTGTTCTAGACTGGCTGTTCTTTTCCAAGCCAAAAGCCATAATTTTTGAAGTGGAATAAATGGATCAGATAGTCCTACAAGACTTTTAACCTACAAGATTATAGACAATTGCTATTGAAGGAGAATGGTGATAGACATCAATGAAGCAATGGTAGATGAGCAGTCGGAACAGAAACAACTGATGACTTCTATCTTCTATCTATCTGATGACTTCTCCTATCTTCTATCATTAAAACTCCGAGAGGAACAAAGACAAGTTTTTTTTCAGAACATCAAATCTGCAAATGGGGAGAGCAGAACAGCATTTTGCCTGACTGTCTCTTTGATCTGCAACATGATTTCAGGCACCATCATGTCCTCATCTAAATCCTCAGTGCCCTCCATCTACTCCATCTACTAGCTGGCCTCCTAGCCTCCTTCCTGGGCCTTAATGATGTAACGAGCAAGCAAGCAGGGCTAGGTATCATCACCATCTGCGGGTTACCACCTCCAACATCACAGAAATTTGAATCTAAGGGATTGACGCATTTTTCATTGGTTTCATTTTCCATGACATCAGGTTTCTTCTTCTCCTTGTATCCTCATCTTCTGGTCATCTGCATAATTAAGAGTATGTTGCAAACATACAATTTTGCTCCAAGACGTCCCGAAGAACCCACACAATAAATGCAAATTTACCATCCACCAAGCAGTCACAGGAATGTGAGAGCATAAAGTGCTATATAACCACTCCGTAATTTCCCAACAACTGACTGAGAAAATTAAGATGCAGGATTCATTCAATTTTAGTCTTTGGATGCTCTTAATTGTCAAACCTCTCTTACCTCTCTCCACTCTCTTCAGCCCCACAGGTACAGTATTTTAGTGTTTTGCTCGTTATTTTAAGATATTATAACAAAAATCATCTATAACCAGGTTATACAATACAGTATATAATTTTCATGGGTCTATCAAATAATGTTTCCAAATGAAAGCATTTTATCTATAGACCTTAAAAAAAAAACAACATAAAAATCCATGACAGTAACACATCTAGTCAATTCTCCTGGTTAAAGTCTGAGGAAACAGGCAAAGAGAGCCAAATCAATTCTAATAAATCTGATTCTTTGTATATACTATTCACTGTATAACTAAAGATAACTCCTCTTATGTAGATGGGAAATGTAACATTGTTTAGCTGCTACACACGCAACTTGAGAATGATTTTAATGATGTGATGCTATTATTTTACAAACAAATAAGCTTCAGCAGTTTTATCAAACACACACAAGACATTTTTATTAAATATTTTGTTCTGCTTTAAATAGTGTGTGAACACATCAGCAGAAAAACACTTATGTTTAGTACTTTACTATATTTGTACAATAGGTCGTACTACATATAAATGCAATTTTTCTCTTGTAATTCACTAGATTTCAATAGTCAGCTATACATACTTTTCTGTTTGCTATCAGAGAAATATATAATATACATTACTTCATGCAATGACACTTCTATTAAAGTGAATGTTTCACTATTACTGTCTCATCCGACCTTTTGCCGCTCTTTGGTGTAGGGGTCATCTGGACGACATGCCGGAGGATTCAATCTAACTCCCATCTTCCTCAGGAAATTTTTGGTGAACTCATCACAGTCTACAATTCTATATCTTCGGGCATAAAGGATTACTTCTATGTTGATGTTGAAATGATCTACAGTATAGAACTGATCTTCGTTAGGAGGCGGAAGAGGAATTCGGTGACGTCGAACGATAGTTCCTGTGTAAGAATGAGGGAGAATCTGTAGAGTGAATATGTTTGCATTGACCATCACAGTCCTGCCAATTCTCTACGACGAGGGCAAGGGAAAGGGGAAAGGGAATAATCCATTCAATAAAAGAACTATTAGGTAATGAAACCCTTTTTCACTAGCAACAATATCTTAAACTGCCCATCTTCTAGAACCTCTCAGAACACTGCCAAATACAAAGGTAAAGTACTTCAGTTAAGTCGTTGCAGAAAACTACCACCTTATAAAACAAACAGGAAACCACTTCAATAAATTCCCATTTATTGGTCTAAACATGACAGGTGAGTATACTTTCCAACAAGAACAGCAAAGATATTGTTCTTATGAAGAGATTTTTTGCAGCATTTCTGAAAAGCAACAGCACTACAAATATTATTTATTTTTCTGAAAAGAAAACAAGAAGTTTTGCAAAAAGTGTGACAGAAATTCCATGGCAATAACAGTCAAAATTATAAATTTCTTAGCGGGTTGCAGGGGGAGCTGACAAGATTTGTCTACAGGATGAAAAAAAAAACCACACACAGCCAAGGTTAAAAAGGAAAAACCTGCCCTCCCAAGGTCAAAAAGCCCAAGCTCCATGGATGAAGGCAGGGGTGTTCAACTGGCCTTCCTGAAGGAGTGAACTGACAGTAGGAACGTCTGGGATAAGCAGGCCTGAATAAACTCCAGCCAAAAATAGCAAATTATTGGTCCGTCAAAAACCACAGTGCCCTCCCCTGGGAAATAACCAAATTTCTACTTCACAAATTTGCCAGAAGTTGTCATACGGAGACCTGTCAATGTACAACAGTCAGGTTGCTCAGGATTGACGGCTATCCCGATGAGTCCTTTTCGACTAGGGGAATGCCAGGCTTTTGAGCAGGGTATCATGCTGCGTTACCAATGGTCATTTTAAACACGCACATCTGATCAGGCTGCAGGTCCCCTTTCCTGGGAGATGCCCTCGCAGAAGGATCTGGAGCACTGCTGCCCTCTGACTGCGGTGCTGGTGTCCTAAGCTCCCACCTCACCCTTCACAGGATGTCTCCTCTTGGAGAGGCTGGTTTTAGGACAAGTCCAGTGGCAGCTTAAGGAATCTTTTACAGTAGGGGAGGACTCTTGACTGTCATGCAGCTCATGAAATGGGGCAGCAACTGATTTGATCTCTGCGGCTACAAAGCTCTGCAGAAGAAATAAAGTGGTATCAGGGATTTCCTGAGCACGGCTTACCCATTCCCTCTGTGCAGCTCAGGAGTGCAGTGCAGAGAGCAGGTGAGGAATGGGTAGCACCTATGTTTGGTTCACTCCTTGTCTACTTGCAGAGAGGAGCAGAAGCAACCGTTACTATTCCTGCAGTGCAAAGAGTTCACCCACAGGAACGAGGAGCCCTCTTACATTCACTTGTGCACCGCATGAGCATGTAGCAAGGTCATGATTTGGTCTTGATCATAAATATGGCAACTTCCCAATTATCTCAAGGTCTCAGGGGAGGTCTTAAACTCTCAGATAATCAGTTTTACTGGAGGAGCTGCCTGCAAGTCCACTTTCCTGCCTGCGCTTTTCTCCTCAGCCCGGCGGCCTTGGGAACACAGCCAGCAGGCAGCTCCCTTCTCCTTCTCAGCTGGCTGACCTTGGGGAACCCAGCCAGCTGCTCCACTGTGCTCCCGACTGCAAGGCCTGGACCGCACTGGAAGATACAGCTAACCCCATGGGACAGGAATGGCCTTTGGATAAGGCATAATCAGCCAGCCACAGTCCTGTGAAGGGGGAATTAGAATGACAGGATGCTTGTACTACCCTATCCAGCCTGGCCCTCTATGGGGAGAGTTTCCTTTCATATTGGGAGAGCAGTTAGCATCTGGCTCTGGAAGAGCACAAGTGGAGTTTGTTATGTGGTTGCCTTTGCTGTCCTCCTCGTCGTTCTGTACTCCCTTATCTTTAGTTAGTTCTCATGGACTTTGATTGCACGGGTATTTTTAGCTTTGATTCAGGTTTCTCAGAAGTGCTGGTTGGCCTCTGCATTCCTTCGTGTTTTGCACTGAATTTCTGTTTAGACAGATCTCTCCTAATACTTCTAATATTTTCCAAAGTTCAAGCTATAGCAATGTAGTTTCCAAAATTAAATGTAGATTAAATTTCAGTTATTTAGTAGCAACCTTATCTGTAGAAATTCATGTGCAAGTACAGCAGCCAATTCCATAAAGCATTTGTTTTTCAAGTCACTGAAACACTTTTCCCACAGACTATTTCTTTTGTCAGTGTGAGATTTTGATTCCTGGTAAAAGGGAAAAATCTGGGGTTTTGTTTTGTTTTTTGAAGCCAATTTGTTTTAGTTTGTTTTAGTTTTGTAAACTCATAACTCAAGCTGCAAGGGCTCCTTTGCCAGCTGTTCTTCACCAAGTCTTCGTGCAGCCTGAAAGCCTCTGCTAGATTTCTTGTGCAAAGCCACCAGTGCCACCCACGGCGGAGCGTGCAGCACAAAATGCTGCTTTCCCCTGATGCCCTGATCCCTCACGTGTGGGCCACGGCACAAGCACTGGCAGGGCAGTGACTCTCAGGGATCAGCCAGACAAGCTCGGATCACGGCCTCTGAGCTACCCTACTAAGCTAAGCCTACTCTTCAGCAGGACTCCTGAGAACACCCAGTTCACTCCTTTCCATCTGGGTAGCAGAATCACCCAAATAATGGTCCCCACCACCTTTTACCATCAACAAATCACTTCCAAAACTTGCCCGATGAGGCCTTCTCCATCACTGTTTTCTGCTGCTCCTCTCTTACACAACCCCTTTCCTGCCCCTCCAGACTCTCCATCTGTCCAGCTGTGCAGACCAGGCCCATCCAGCTCCTGACATTCCCACACTTCTTCATCACACGCACTCCCACATCTGTGCTTTTTGGGTCACTGCAGTTTGCTCTTATTTCACCATCCCAAGGACTCCAACAATTGAACTCTCTCCTCAAAAAAAGCCCTGTATTTTAATTAACTGAGATATTCTATTTGAGGAGAGATGCAGAAGAGTGCATTATGGCTAAGATCCCGAACTTGTATTTAACAGGTCTGAGCTCAGCTCCTCTTTCTGTTACAAGCTTCCTTGTATGATCATGGATGAGACTTCCCTTTGTGTCTCGGCTTCCCAGCTTTACAATGAAGGCTGTTGCACTTCTGTTTTTAGGCTTACATATTCCCAGTCAAGACAGGGACTCTGAGTAATATAAGAGATATAATGTTATATAATCATACTATTACATAACATTATATAATTACAGTATGACACAGGCCAATTTTTACTCTAAAATGGAATAGAACTGCCAGTTGATGGGCCTGGATTTCTTTTTAAGGAACATTGCTTTTAAATATTTGTTGCCTGAATATATGTACTACCGTTAGGATAACAACTTCATAGCTGGTTTTTTTTTTAACATATTCAGTTATGCAGAGCAAAGTGCTTGTGAGTAAAGAGTTCCCTGATAGGTCTCTCCACTGCTTTTCCTCCTAAGTCATGTTAATCTCCAGCATAAAAACAGAATATTTATATGGTAACTTATGATAAAGTATGTGCTCTAGATCCTCTCATTAACCGTGCTGCCTAAATGCATCCCAATGTCTTCTGAGCCTTTCAATCTATAGGATTGCTTCCTTCTTAAAAACAGTCAATATGTAAGACTTCTTAACCAGTCCTAGGTACCAGCAGCAAATAAATTAAGTGCACTTTTGAGACCCTTTTTAATCCATCATTTTAACGCTTTATGGATACTCATTGATCCCATATAAGTACTTGGACAAAGCCCTACGGGCCTTCAAAATATCCTTGCCTGGTACGCTAGAAAAACTCTTTTTTTTTTTTTTAAGTGCACCCAGTTAATTTTAGATCTGGTACCTACAACATCCAGTACCTAAATGATTTCAACAGCCATTAACACAACCAAGAAAAATAAGGGGAAACTGGAGCCTTCCTGTCACCATGGGAACATTACTAGGCTGCCAGAAACACCCAGCCTGAAGATGTAGTCTGCACAACCCATACTGCAATGACAGTGAAAATTGCTAGTTCCTACAGCTATTTTCAAAGGGCTCAGCTTTGAATTTGCTCTATCCAGCTTGCACCTTTCCTCTCCAAGATGTCACCTCTATCTCTAGTGTTCACCACACTTCCTTGCTGTTGCAGGTCATTTGTTCTAAGGCACTTAAGCCAGAAAGAGTTGCCTTGGCTCCTGTGACACACGCAAGCCAAGGAACATGCACATCCCATCACGCGTCCGTCCTCGCACAGATGAGGGCAGGGACAGGGAGGATAACTGCCCTTTACATTCCCAGGTGAAGAGCTCCAGCATATGTTTCTTTGGGTCTTGAAGCAGCGTTTTCCCATGCAGGAGAAAGAAGTTCCCCTGAATTCAGAATCAGCTCTGCTGCAGAAGAGCCAGCAAGGCTTCTGGCAAGAACAGCTCAGCACAGGGAGAGCAAGGCACTGAGAAACAGCATAGGAAGAAAAGATTCCTAGAAAAATTATCCTATGAATAACGGTAATGATGCAGGTAAGCCCTTCAGATCAAGAAAGAAACTGATAGAAGCTCATCTTGGAAAAAAATATAGCAGTTAAATAGTTCCATTTCTTTTTTTTTTTTAATTTGAAATCTGTTTTTGAAAATTACTGTGCTAAAATAGACCAGAATATGTACAAAATCTCTGAGGACTGGGAGGTGCAGCCATCCCAAGATACTCATGCTAAGCTTATCTGGACTTTATCCTTTGAAAAGCTTTGTTTTGTTTGTTTGTGTTTTAGCTCTGGCAGTGACCCATAAGCACCGAGAGGCAGCAGCTGTGCTCCTCTGCTGCAGCAGGGCGCTGATTGCCAAATCACATTTTGTTAATGTAAACCAAGTCCATTAATATCCCAGTAAATCAGCTCCCTGAGCCCTCCTCCAAACGTCCTCCCGCTGGCCCAGGCTCAGCAGCGTGACCCTGAGGCAATCAGCCTCCCATCTTAAGGCTGTCAAGGAAAAATGACTGAGCCAAGGACGTGCTTATCATAAAGGGCCCGACAGCCGGAGACACCAAAGGTGCTCTCCTTCCATAACGGGGGAGAAACCTGCAGGAGGGAACCAACAACTCCAGAGTTTTAGCGAGAGGATTTACAGTCAGGGCCAAGCTGGGAGGAACTGGGCTTCAGAATGGAGATCCAGAACATACAGTTGCTACTGCAGAAGTGGGAAGACAAAAGACCCACTATCATAGGGTTTCAAACAGCTGTACTCCAGAAAAAGAAAGGTGAAGAAGAGATAGTATTCTGCCTTACAACACTTGGATCTTCAGAAACTAAGGCAATAAAAAAATCATATTAGCACCTAGAACAAGAAAAATCAATTATAATTGTTCACTTACAGGCCATTTTCACTGTCAAAAGTCATATTAGATATCCTATAGGCTGATACTATACTGAGGAAAGGTCTAAGGGCAAAAAACAAAATAGAGTGCTATTAAAAATAGATACCTTGAGTTATGCCACTATTTTTCACTTGGGGTTCAACCACTTGGATTGTATCATCTTCAAGGTAGAAGTATATTTTACAATGTCTTATTCTATATAGCTCTTGATTTTTGTCAGGCACTTCCTCCTCAAAATAGGCATCAAAAGACAACACCTATTAAGAACAATAAATAAATATAAGGACGCAAAATCTTCAATCAATGCTTTTGCAGAAAAGGTCAATAAAATAAACTAGTATAGATTATAAGCTAACTCAATGTATGGATTTCGTGAGGTAGATTTATTTCTCAGAAATGTAAAAATGGAAATCCACATTAGATCACATAAATTTAAAATTCTTTGGTTGGCATTTTTAATACCATAACATCTAAGCAGAGATGGAACACTGAAGTAAAGAAATAAATCAAATATGAAAATATCAGCAGGCTGCTTGGAAAATCTTCTGGACAAAGCACTTTTGATAGCACAATGAGCTACCAAGGACCTGAAGCAAATTTTAGATTTCTGTTCAGGGAATTATGGGAAAACAAAGTGGATTGTGACAGGAATGGCTTTACTGTTGAGGTAAGTGGAGAGGAGAGTTCTTTTTAAGCAGATCCTGCAAGCTCTCTAAGGAATGGTACTGAAGCCCCTCAGAGAGACATGGCATTCTCTGAGGAGTCACTGTTGAAATGTGCAAGATGGTCATTTCAAATCTTACCCAGTCCTGCAATTGAGTGACTGGAGACACCTCAGAGTATAAGTCAATTTGCTTCCTGGTCTCTTGCAACAGCAGTACCTCTTTCAGCAAAAGGACCTGCATAGCTGAGGGGCTTAAGCCTTTATGTCTGGATCAAACAGCTGAAGCTTTGCAAAGCTCTGTGTGAGTTTGGTACTTCTTGGTATTGTTAATGGTTTTTAAACACCAAGACCAACGTATAGGGACTATGCAAGAAATAACTACTTAGCAGCACATCAGCAGCCAGGATGCTTGTGTTGTTAAACGCGTGAGGAGGCATTAGTAAAGATTAGGTTTTTCTCTTCAACACATTGGGCTCAAATCAGTGCTAATTCATAATTCATTTTCTTCATAGATACATTTAATAAATTCAATAACCTTTAATCTTGATTCATTAGACAAACTGAAGCACTGGGAAACAAACAAACAAACAAAAAACTATTCCCTATGTTTCAATGAGCATCTGGTACAAACTTGAAAATGTCTGAAATTTCCTACTGTGTTTCCCAAGAGGGCAGGGGAACCTGACAATACTCTGCACTTCTGTAGCATGTATCTCTAAGAATAACAAAGTAACTACACCAATGCTAATGAAAGAGATCTCAAGATCTCTTGCATAACATCAAGAGACCTCACCTGAGGCCCAACCAATTTGCAGTCTGCATCAAACCCCGTATGATTAACACACATCTGCCATCAACTCTCCTGCATCCTTACCTGCTACTGCTAGAGAAACACAAATCAACTTACAACCAAATCAAATAATTAACTGTTAAATGTGATAACATTACACCTATAAACAAGCACAGACCTATACATACATATTCTCACAAAAGAATCTGGAAATTATCAGTCATAGCTTGTTTAAGTAGTTAACATCTAAGTTTCGGATCTTTTCAAAGAGGAAATAGCTGAAAATACATAAAAATTTGTTCTGGTCTTTTTTTTTAAAAAGAAAAAACGTGGATTTCTCTGTTTTATGTATTGAACATATAAGGCATTTTTTGTTTCTGCATAAAACATCTGAAAAACTGAAAGCACTCAACAAAGGCAACACAAACAATTATATCTTCAACTTCCCTTCAGGCTTCCAAATCTCTTTTTCTGAACAGAGGCGTTAGGGCCACTGTGGGTAATCAAGCAACTTGGCCTGGTCTTCAGCTGCTAATCTAGAAGACCACGAGGCCTGCATAAACCTTTTTATATACTTCAGGACATTTAAAAGGTGCTAATTTTCTCGGGTGGAACCACTAGGAGACATAGTAGGAGCTGAATGTTATGCCCTGCTGCGTATTAACCACAGCCACCAGCAATTCCCTTAGCTGCTCTGTTTTCCCTATTCTGCCAGTCCCACTAAGGGTATTGCCACTGGACAACTATATTGTTCAACTGTCTGCTTGGTTCTGAATTGTTATTAATTCTGTCAATGGTCTTTTATCAGAACAGTTGTTTCATGAGACACCAGCTATGTGCAAGGGTCTGTTTGCACAGATCTCCAAGCAAGATCTGGTCCTAACTATACTCTTGTTATTCTTTGCACCAAACATTCACCAATATCTTTGGTTACTTCATTGGATAATTTTTTCCAAGCTCTTTTGTTCTTAAACTTTATACCCTTCTTTAAGAATATGCTAGTGCAAGACTGAAATAAGTGCACATTTATTTTGCACATCAAAACAAATAATTCAGGAGGAGGGAAGGAACTGAAAAGATGACTGACATTATTCTAAAGCAAAGTTTATTTTAGAAATAATAAAAATTTAACACTTTTAACTCATGTCGCACCTGTAGGACATTGCTGTGCACAAAGTACCCTCTTCTTAAAAAAATAGACATAAGTTATATTGAAAATTTAAAAAAATTGTAACAAATATTGAATAAACTCCATGACATTTTATAGAGTTGGCACATGACTTACCTGGCATCTGTGGTAGTCAAATCATAGACATCTTTTCAAGCCCAGGAGGACTTGTGTGTACTTAATCATAAAAGAGATTAAATTTCCACCTGCTTCTTATTAAGCATAAGAAATTACAAAAAAAAAAAAAAAAAGGTATTTCTTAATCTTCTTAATAATGAGGTATTATTCATGTCTGTCCTCCAACCATAATAGTACTGACGAAAGTTAGGAACCAAAGAAAAATGAATAACAAAGCAAATTTGTTTAAAAGACTAAACACCTATTGGAGCCATTTCTCAAGCAGTGCATTTTACTGAGTCACAAAGTGCAGCGCTGCAGGGCACACTTGCATGCTAGGCACTTAGCTGATGAAGCTAAATTAGCTGGGCAGTACCCTGTGACAGTCTGCAATTAATACAGAGACAGAGGCCCTCGAGAGGCCGATCCAGAAACCATAAACCCTTGTCCCGCATGGCCCTGTAGCAGAATGCACCAGGAGAGAAGGAGCCGGCAGAGGCCGGCTGGATAATCTCAGCAGCCAAGTCCAGCACTTGATGTTCTGCAGCAGGAAATCCCAGCGTCTCTTTTTAGTAAGTTAGGCCCAAATCCTGTCCCCAAAAAAGCAACGTTTGCCTCTCCAGAGAAAGAGCAGTGCAAATCAAGCATGCACAGGACCAGCCTCAGCACTTTGGCACATCAGATCCATTCATACCTGAGTGCGTTTAGTGCAAACTGTGTGATCAGTAGTAGGGATTTCAGAGGCAGAGCTAATCAAAGTATCTGCTCAAACGTTACCTTTTCCTGTAGTAGTTGTGGACTGCCAAAGAAACAAACACCTATTTGTATGGCAATTACCATTGTGACTTTTACTTTAATCTAAAAGGGATGAGATCAGCCATCCTTCCCAATATTTAAATATTTAAATACCATAATCCTTTTGTCACGCAACATTTCTGTGACCTGTAGGATAATTTCTTTTTCTGGATCATTTTTCTTCCCCGATCGTAGACTTTTTACTCTAGAAATAAAACATCACACTAAGCATAATTTAATGCAATTTTATACATTGGAAGGAATCACAGCATGCTACAAAATTCAAATCACCATTGATTATAGTTATTTGATAACTCTCTAAATTTAAAGGTGTTGCTGTATCCTTAGAAAATAAAAATACAATCATTTTATATCCTTGTGTCTACAAAGGGCACAATCCACCTCTGTCTTTGCACATGAACAGATCACACCAAAGTCACCAAGACTTTCTGCAAGCAAACATGTCTGGATAAGTAAATTCTGGGCCTATGGCCTCCCATTTGATTAATGTTCCCTACGTGCCCATTCAAATTTTCTCTTGGGCTGGGACCTATCTCACATTCCTGTAACTGCAGTTGCTGTTTGCTTGCTAAAAAGAAAGGGGGAAGAGGTCACAAAGCAGCCCATTAATTCTTCCTACGTTGCCAGTTAATTCCTTTTTTTTGCCATCTTTTTCACCAAAAAGCAACCATCAACCACTCCCCTTTGATTTTATCATGTTGGGGATGCACATCAGTGTGGTAGTATTTTTAAATGTTGCTGTAAAGTATGAAATATGCTTATATTAATTGCCCAAAATACCAATATTAACAAAAAATAATTACTGCTGCTTTTGTTTATCTAGGAACTTTTTTTTTGCCTGCACAAAATAGTCTTTCCAGATATCTGATATGATATTTGACTAACTGAAGTTTATTCTTGTATGTTCTTTGTCATATTGTATCTAAACACAGAACACGTCCTTTAATACCAGAGAGAGATTTCTACACACCTGTTTGTCAAATGCTACCCAAGCAGGAGCATCGCTTCCAACCTCCCTAGGAAACACACTGTGTTTAGGCTTCAGTTTCTGTCCAGGCAATGGTTCACCTCCTATTCCAGGTTTATCTTCTCCAACCAGCATGGCAACATTATTGCAGTAACCCCAGAGCTGAGACTTGTGAAACTTCTCTTTCCCTAGCTGTGAAAAAAAAAATAGGATAAAGAAGAAAGAAGGGAAAAAAAAAGAAAAAAAAAAGGTCATTTTTGTTTATTTCTTTCTTAATCCATAAGAGTTCATCATCTGGCAAGGGGGACTAATCATGTAAAACTTTCTACAGCACTGTTTTTAATATATATTCTAAAAATCTGTAACAACTTGAATGCTGTGACTCGTGACATCCTTCCATGGTGAACTTGCAGGCCTATCTTACTGATGAAAATGGAGAAGCATTGCAGCGGTTTGTCCAGGCTGAGAAACAGGATAACTGTGGCCTTTCTCCTGTACCTCTTTCCCTGAAACTGAAGCATGTGGTAGAACAAGTGAGTCACCCATGAGAATTGTTCCTAAAAGTAGAGAGGAACAGTCTTTCTTTCCTGCAGTGCTGCTAAAGAAAAAGGGAAATGGCTCAGGAGTATCAGGAGAACAGCCCTCCCGCATTACTTATGTCAAGCATCTTATTTGCACGTGCATCCCAGCGTACAAACTAGAGAGCTACACCCTATACATCTGACTTTTGGAAGGCTGGACCTGAAACAGAGGACAGAATATTCATTCCACCTGGGCTTGTTCCAAAGGAAGGTCTCTGCAGAGATTTCTTAACATTATTATTATATTTTAGGCAGCAAAGCATAGAGTGCTTAAAGGAGATACAGAGCCAATGGCAAAGGAGCGCATCTTGCTGACTCACATTTCTTGGCTAGGGCTGGAGCCAGCCTTGAAACGATGCAGAAAGGCCCCAGGCCTCTCTCCCGAGTCCTGCCTGTGGGAACAGCCCCTCGTACGAGCTGCCTGCTTGGCTGGGGAGGGAGATGACAGCTGTATCACCCGTGGGAAGGGTGAGCAAATAGAAACGATGAGGCTGGAGCAGGGATAAACTGCTGCTGCGAGAGGTGGGCGCAGAGAAGGGGCCAGGTGGATGTCAAGTGTGGACAGCAAGACATCCTGCGGGCTGCACAGCAGCACCCACGTGGATATGCTGGGAAAGGAGCAGGGTGGAAAATCACCTCTCCTGCTACGCTCATAAGAGTTATCATACATATAATTGAGACAGAACCCCCCAAAAGCGTAAACCAGCCGAAGTTATGGATCAAAAAATGGCCAAGATTAAGAAGAAAAGAGAAGAAACGCTCCTTTTTCATCCTGGCAACGTTCTCCAAGCTAAGCTAATACACGGAGCGCTGTTTAGCGCACCAATGTTCTGGAAGAGAGTGCAAGCAGTGAATAAGCAAAATCCGAAGGGAACTGAGCAGTGGCTTCACCCTGCCAACATGAAAGAGCGTAAGGAATTTCAGAGGCAGGGAAGCAGCCTTATGGCTCATAACCCCCAACGCTCACATACACGAAGCACCAAAGGTTTTCATAAACCTTTCAAACCTGAATCGTTCAGTGGTTGAACAGTGGCCTAAGCCCAGGAAGGAAGGAATGTGGCCACTGATATGAGCAGCTTAGACAAGACTTCAATTTAATTTGTATTTAAAATGCTAGTTTGGCTATAGAGAGGAAAGGACAGTGGTATGCAAATCAACACACGATTTATTATTTTTCCAACTGATTATTTTTAAAGCTATAATCATAAATGGCCGCATCTTGCTTAGGATAACAAAAGCAGGAGTAGCCAAGCAGATACTGCAAAATGAGAGAAGCTTCACAAACTGCTGTGATAGCATCACTTCCCCAAAGAAGGCATTTAACAGTGGAAGTTATGGGCACGATCTGAAGTCTGGAAGCTCTTTTATGGAAAAAACTCTCGTTTGGACTCTACTGAACTGCCCTTTCTTGTTTTACTTTCTATTAATTTAGTTCCTCAGGAGGCTGCTAAAGAGAGTGGGGGAGAAGGCAGAATGGGAGGGAGCTCTCTGCATTTATCCATTCAGATACAGACCAAATATAGTCCAGCTGAGTTTGAAAATGGATTTTTTTTTTTTTTTTCGGAAATGTGTGGTTTATGCTGAAGGATCTATAGAACTGACCCACATTTTGGCACAGCAAGTGTTTAATTATTCTCCCCCTACCATAAAAGCAGGATTCAAGGAGAAAGGCAGAGCTACCAAAGCACAGCGAGCAAAGGTGGCAGTCTTCCTCCAAGTCCTCCAAGGTTTTCCTAGAAGAATTTTCTGTTGATCTGTTTCTAGTTTGGGGTTAGCTATCATGTGTTAGAGTGTTAAAGTAATCCAGCTTCGTTCCTGCTGTGAATTTTCCGGAATTTGGTGGAGAAATTGCAACACAGTTCACAAGTTGATAGGAAAAATACACAACCCTGCAGTTCTACCAGGCATTCCTCACGGAATTCTTGAAACTTTTCAAGGTTCTACAGAAAGACCATTCTAGATTATTAATAAAAGAACTACTTATCAGCACCTTCTCTATGCAAATTATTTAATCGATATGTAAAATACAGCCCAAGCAGGACATTTTAAAAAAAAAAAAAGCTTAAGAAAAGAAATAACTATGATTAAAGATGATGAAAGAGAAAAACAATGCTTGAGAAACTTCAGCCTAATGAACTCAGATCACATCCATCCTAAAATAGTGATGGACCATCACGTTACATCCACAGCAATATTAAATGAGTTTGAAAGGAAAACTGTGACAATACAGTAAAAAGGCCATAGGCACCATGTCTGCTGGGCTGGTGCTGCTAAACAAAGTCCTACTCAACAAGGCTGTCCACTTTCTTCCTGTGAGAAGTAAATATTGGGTACAGGTTCAAAAGCAATAGGTTCGATGGAGAAGTCAGGAGCTACAGCAGAAGCCCCTGCTAGTGGTTTGGTATTACTGCCCGCATCCATTTTCATTCCCACCTTGAGAGGTCCTGCTCAGACCATGTATGAGGATGAGCTCTGGCATTTATGGACTACTCTCATCTGATTGCTTCAGTTAAATACTGGAAACAAATGCAAATGCCGGGGAAATTTATGTGACCTCCCGCTCCCTGTGGAAAGCCCCCATCGCCCAACAGCAGCCACACGGATGGGCCAAGTAGCAGACGCTCCCACGGATCTTACAAGTGGCATCTTTCCCAAAGTCCTTAGGGCCTTAGTGAAAAGTCTTGCGTAACCTACCAACCTTCAAGCCGTGGAGGACCCCTAGCTTCCTGGGGAGATTCTGGGATGTTTAAAGGCGAGTGGTATTTTACGGAGATGATCAACATCTCCCCTCTAACAAGTCTCAGAAGAACATGCAGTGACATTAATGATGCCCACAACTCTCAGCAGGGATATTGGCTTGTTCTTCCTGCCTGAGCTAGTGCTTCCTGAGACAAGGCAACATAAGGATATACGTGGAAGAGCTGGAAATGCAGCATTAGGGGAAAGCTCGGGAAGGTTTGGGGTTGGGAGCTGCTAAGGGACAGGGATCAGGGCGAGCGAGGCAGAGGAGATTGTGCAAAGGATTCAGGAGACAATGGGAGGGTGAGGAGGAGGAGGGAGGCACAGCAGGCCATTTAGAAGACATTGGAAAGCACATTGTTGAGAAAAACTCATGTCCCACTCTGGTACCAATAATTACAGAGCAGCAGAGAATACTGAAGCCAGGAAACCCAGAGACAGTAGCACAGCTGAGGGCAATTCCGAGGTGATGCAAGAAACCGGCAGGGAAGAGGGGGAATTTGCGCCATGTCACTAAAGTTCGCAAGAGAAACGGTATTTTCAAACATGTATTTTCCCCCTGAGATCTGTAAACTCACTGTCTGATTCTCTGAGAAATACCACACAGAACTGCTGGAAAGATTTCTCTCTCCCGCAGGGATTTCAAACCTCGGGCACAAGAATGCACTGGTCGGCTGGAACCTAGGAAATGTGACCCGTGTGGATACACAGTCACCTCCACTAGCTGCTGATATAAGGCAAGCACATTAACCTGAGATCGGAGGGGAGAGGAAAGGGAGAGCTGCCCTTTCCCAACAGAAGGCAGATGTGTAGCACTAACAAAGGATGCGACAGTGCTATTGAATTGCAACCAGAACCAGACCGAATTTGGCACAGGCTCCAAATGCACAAACTAGGGGTTTTTTTGCACCAATTGAGCAACTCTACTACAGGCCATGTTTCCCCCAGAGAATGGATTAAGCACCGTTATCCCAATTCATACCTGTGTGTCCTGACAAACAATGACATGTCTATAACTCGGATGGACGAAGGGAAGAATTTTGCTGTTGCACAAGCGCAGCATCAGCTAAGCCCTGCTGCAGCACTTAGGTCTCCTTCAGTAGCAGGAAGAGAAGAAAAGCAGCTGCTCTTCACCTCTTATCCAGCGTCCACAAGAGGTTACCACATTTGCACATGTGTAATCCACAAAATATTGTTTATAAACAGACAAATAAACTCTTTGCAATTCAGCAGTGTAAACCATGTGTGAACACCAAGACTATGCCAGGTTGCCCTATTGCTAAATCTTCTGATTACCCACATGTTAGTTAAGCTGCAGTGGGCTCGTCAGTAATGTGTGTTATCTATGGACTTGCATTCAAAGAAAGGCAATTTTAAAGAAAGTGCAGGACGGTTATTTGATGGATAGACCTGTACATTTCCCAACTATGGTAATTTTGATTTAAGAGAGATTTGAAAGAAAGAGTCAGGTTCCTTTTAGTCCCTTTGTAGGCAGTAAATATTTTATGCCTCAGATGCCTTCTGGTGGCAATAACTCTTCTCTCTCCCCTCAAACCAAACACTGAACACAACAATGTTTCCGCTGAGCCTTCACCCTCATCCCTGCTCTTCATTTAGCACGAAGGAAACATGTTACGTTACCGTAGGAACCAGCTATTTTAAAAGTGCCTCTCACCTTGGTATATTACCCTCGTCTCTAATTAATTGTGAGGCCCAAGCAGTTATATTTTGTCAGAACTAAAGAGAACCACAGCAATAATATTGTACTCGGGGAAGCTGCTGAATTGCAAAGAGGATCAGCCAGCAGCACTCAAAAGAATAACTGAAAGAGAGTGCCAAGAGAAAAATGGGATTTTCAATCTCCCTTTGCCATTTCAATCCCCATTTGCCAAAGTCACTCCCTGTTGCATGAGGTTGGGCTCCTTGTTCCTAACCACCTCAGAGCTCTCTTTCCTGAATGCCACGGTCTCCTTATTAAGCACCTCCAAACTAAACAAAGCAGGTATATCCACCTCTTCCTCCGCCTTCCTTTTCCTTAGAGGCCCTTCTTCTTTGTGGGCCTATCTAATAGACAGGTGGAAGCACCAGGGGAAGAGAGGACTGTAGCAGTAATACAAACAGTGATACGAGCTACAGTGGAATTCATTCTCATAATTACAAACCAGGGACTGATAGAAAAAGCAGCCGCCTGTCCCCTGCCCTTCCTTCTTTAGGGGATACTTGGCTGCTACTACTCCCGTGTGATAAGAGGCACTGATGGCAATGCTCTGATTACTGTCAGGGTAGGTTTTTTCCTAATCAACATATTTACAGCACAGGACTTTAGAATTTCCCCAAAAGCCCTAACAACAGGGTAACCATGGTTTTGCAACACTATCTTGTAACAACCGTGCCTTTGTTTTCATACCTTCAGTTCTTATAACACATATGTTACAAGACTGCCTGTAATCCAGCACGGGCTGCGCATCCCTATGCACAGGTAGTTTTCCTCAAGCATGCGAAGCAAAGCAGTGCATCACCCTTCCAGGAGGAGAGACATCCTGGAGACAAAGCCACCTCCTGGCTGCTGTGGAGCTCGAGCGACAGCTCCGTGACACTCCATAAACTCCCTATTAGGTAAGGTCAGGCAAGGTCTCGAGGACAGCAGCGTCCTGGATAACAGAGCTGAACTCCTCTGCCTCCCTCCAGCACACAGCTGTGGTACACAGCTATTGCTGTGTTGCTCGTGAGCCCACTTGGCCAGTTTGTTACAATCCAGAACTTAATTCAGCAAGACAGAGTGAGGTGACTTAGCAAAGGCTGCCCGTGAGAAACGCGTGTGCTTCTACAGCATCCCCTAGTCTTCTCCGGGAAGGAAAAAACAATAACTGAGAACAGGACAGACTAGCAACTGGATTCAGTACCCCAGGTAAGAGAGGAATATTTATAACTGGGTAGAAAATCGGCGGGGGGAACAGCACGCAAACTTTCTTATACGTATTTTCTAATCAGCTGTGAGTCTAGCAACAAAAAGATGAGGGCTGCGATCGTCAGGAGGCTTTTCTCCTAAGTTAAGGAGCTGCTGTTTGTGGGGAGTAAGCCACTTGAAAGATCCTCACTGCTTGCAGGCTGGGCTCCTGCTGCCCAGGACCCACGTGTGGGGGCATTGGGGCAACACTGTGTTTATGTGGATCCCAGCAGAACCGAGGCCTCATGGCGAGCTCAAAGCACAAGAACAAGATTCTCTCCCCACAGATATTTTTATTTAAGGTTATGAAGGAAGCCTACCATGTTGCATCTGTTTCCCACAGGCATCAGCCACAGCGCCATGCCCAAATTCTTCTTTGTCCTGTGTACTGTGTAACGATACAGATGCTATTCAGCAAATTTCTAGCTATTTTTGCTGAAGGAGCCTGAAGTAGCGATGGCAAGCTTATCATTTCTTATGCTATTGCAGCCTGTGATAAAAATACCGTGATATAAAGTAACATTCTTATATATTCACCGACTGCCAAGAGCACTTAAGAGTAACGGCAGCTCTGAAAACCACATTATCACCTCTATTTTGGGGTTCTTTTTCGTGATTTGTAGAACTTTTCAGCTTATTCGAACACACCGGTCTCTCCCCTCTTGGCTTGGATAAGGGATGCAAGGAGCCTTCCCCATGTCCCATGGCAGCTCCTGCCAGGCCTGCCCATTCGCAAAGCATTAGTGCTTTTAACCTAAGGGAGGAGGTTCTCCGGGTTTTATGTAGCCCACAGTAGCCGGCTTCTCATCCCCTGCATGTGCAAAGGCCTGGAACTGAAGGTTTAAAATAATAATGAATTTAAAAAAAAAAAAAAAAAAAAAAAAAGGCAAACACATGAAAACTTTAAATGCTTTTTAAGCACACGTATTCCCCCCCCACACAGAGAAACAGAGCAGGTCCTGCAGCTCGCCGCCCGGCACGGGCCGCCCTCACTCACGTTGCGCGCGCAGGAAGCCCCGGGCAGCAGCGGCAGCGCCGCCATCGCGCCCCTCGCCAGCCTCACGGCGCCGCCGTTGCCGGGAGACCGGCCGGTGACGTCACAGAGGGGCCGGTGACGCCACAATCGGCCCCGCCCCCCGCCCTCCCCCACCGCCAGGGGGCGGTGCCACCGCGCCCGCTGTGGCCCCGCCCCGCCCGGCAGCCGTTAACGTACTGCGGCGGCCGTTAGTCCCTGTGGCGCCAATGGGGAGAGAGGGAGGCAGGGTCGCCCTCGCTCGCTCCTTTCTTCCCTCCCTGCTCGAGGAGCCACCTCCTCGCCGGGGAGTGCTTGGGTGTTGGCGCCTCACGTAGGGCCGGAGTAGCTTTGGCTGCTCTTTCACTTGTGGAAGTCGTTGCTGACTCCCTCACGAGCCTCCCAAACTGGGCTCAGCCCCAAATCTGTGCGTTGCGGCCGCCCTCCCCCTCCCCTGCGCAAGAATCCCTGGCTGAAAATCCCTCTCCATCTGACTCATCTGGGGTCACAGAGAGGCGCAGATCCCACCACGGCTGCTGCTTTCTGCATGAATTTACTTTTCTTTTTTCACTTTACGACTTTTTTTTTTTTTATGCTTGGGAGCCCTGGCAGGTTTGGAGGAGGGGAGATGGTTTTACATCCTTTTTTTTTTTTTTTTTTTTTCTTACATCTTAGGCCACTGAGATGGTGAAACTGGGTCAGTGGGTTTTTTGTTCTCTGGTTTCCCAGTGTCGCATTATGCACCTGTATTTGCATTTCTAGTAAGGAGAGGTAAACATTTAAAATACGTTTTAATGGAAAATAAAAAGAACTATCATTTTATTCATGTTCACTTCATGTAGTGGGTGGTTTTACACCCAAATTTGAATTTCAAACAGAAAATCTCCTGAGAGTTTCTCACGGGCGGCTTGGAGGGAAGAGTCGCTCCTTTCTTTGATAGAACTGACATTTCCCTTGTTAATAAGGGAAGATGCATATCCAAGATCCAAAGCATGTTCCAGATCTCCAAATCTCCAGATCCAGATCTCCAAAGTGTATTCCAAAGGCCAACCACAATGTTATAGTATGTTCTTCCATTTTATCTAAATTTCTCTGTGTGCTTTTTTTTTCCCAGAACTGTTTTTAACAGGAAAAAAAAAAGGTTATGAACAAAATTGTTAGCTGAAACTCAAGTGTTCGAATTCTGATACTTCATCGTGCTGTCTCAGAGGATCCATACTTCAGTTGCTTAATGTCCTTATTCTCAGAGATGGAGTGGATCTCCCCTGCCATATTTCATACTCCATGATGCATGAGACCATGAAATTCCCACAATATATCATCTCTCCGCCTGGAAAGAGCGCTCGCGCAATAGCCCGGGCCATGTGCTCTGTCTAAATGAGCCCAGTCCCGTGGAGCACTTGTGCAGCGGTCACTAGCAGAGCTATCACTTAGGTTATTGTGCTAGCAGAGACTGTGATTTCAGATAAAATACCTCATTTTCAGTTTTTGCCATATGTTTCTTAGAAATAGGGAGAGAGGAAGGAAGAAGAAAGGGAGCAAGAAAAAACAATCAAGAAAGGCTCATTGCAGGGCATGAAACACTTTCCTGCAGACACTTCCCAGTGGACAGTTCTGCATTTCCTGATGCTTGGAAAAGACCTTCAAGATGATTGAGTCCAACCGCAAACCCATCCCCACCACGGCTGCTAAATCATGTCCCTAAGCGCCTCATCCAGACTTTTCTTGAGCACTGCCAGGAATGGTGACTCCACCATTCCCTGGGCAGCCTGTTCCAGTGCTTGACCACTCTTTCCATGGCGAAATCCTTCCTAACCTGAACCTCCCCTGGTGCAACTTGAGGCCATTTCCTCCTGTCCTATCCATAGTTATTGTGGAGAAGAGACCAACACCCACCTCACTACAACCTCTTTCCAGGTAGCTGTGGAGAGCGATAAGGTCTCCCCAGAGCCTCCTATTCTCCACACTAAACAGCCCCAGCTCCCTCAGCCGCTCCTCGTAAAGTCTCTGCTCCAGCCCCTCCACCAGCTTCGTTGCCTCCGTAAAGTGCTCTTATTCCTGCTCCTGTATGGATGCAAAATGCCAGCACTCTTGGGTTCCTTCGCATAATATTGAATCTCCTTTTCAATATGCCTTGCTCTATCTGACAGATATTGCATAGGAGGCAGCCAGCATAGTCATAAAATGTACCTTTGAGCTTGACAGCTTTCATTAGAAAGAGGATCCAAGATCTCCATGAAATGGATCCCAAATGTTTTGGAATGCATATACACTAGCATGTCCTGGGGGAGGCTGGGGCCACCCTAGCTGCTCCTGCACACGGAATGCCCGTCAGCCCTGTATCGCTCATGACTCAGCTTCTTGTTTGGGAAAATCACCAGGCTCAGGACACAGCAGTGAAGAATCAGAGTATCTTTTCACCTTCTGTTTTTTTCTCTGAAACTTTGATCTCCTATTTAGTTCTTTTGTTGTTCGTTATGGAACAGGGCAGCTGAAATGCCCCAGTCCTCCTCTTGTGTCAGTAATAACCTCTTCCAACAAGATTTCAGGCAAAACTGCAGAGACTACATATATGAAAGATGTGCAAGAGAAACAGAGAGTGGCACTTATTTAGGAGGGATGCTGAAATGCATAGCATCAGTAGAGAGTATGATGCATTTTTAGCAGGAAAATCTCATGAAACCTCCCTGTCTTTTGGATCAAATTTTTATTCATAAATTACTTACATTTCATCCCATAAAAAAAGCCACAGGGAACTATGGAGAAAGGAAGCATCCTCCTAGTGCACAACAGCATGGTTACAATGTGGTGTTTTCTACAATACTTCAATCATGTTTTGCCTTCAGAAGTGGAAAACAAACCCTATATATATATATATATATATATATATCCTACTTAGAGCAGAGTCATTTCCTCTTACATTGCTTTCTCTTTGGGGTTTCTCGCTTCTTTTTTTGTTCTTGCTGTATTCACTCAAGACAGACCAAGTGAAAACAAATTAATTTTAATGTCTTTTTTTCCAGGGAAAAGTAGAAGTCCTATGGGAAAATCATTTTTGATAAAAGCATTTTATTAAATGAAGATTGCTAATGACAACAAAAGCAAGCAGTAGGCAGTAGTAAAATAGCTGTATATTTTGACAATACTCTTAAGAATAATAGTTATGGTAGCGAATTGTACATCAACGTGTAGTTCAAAGAAGGAAGAAAGCAGGAGGGAAGCTATAGTTGGGAAAACATGGAAAATATTATTTAGATGACAAAAAAAAGACAATCTAATCTCTTTTTATTGGTATTGAGTCCAATTCAGTAAAAGAATTCAAATTGCAGTTTCTGAGCCAACTACAGCTCTCCAGAAGAAGCCTCGTTTTTCTCTTTCTGTATCAGTTTGACCAAATGTTATTGGCTCCAGACTTCCAGACTCTTAGTCCATTTGACTTGAGCGGAAGACCTGCTCCAGCAAATACATTTCATACCATTCCCTCTTCTGTGGAGTCTTAAGGGAACTGACATTTCCGTTCCAGTCGTGCCCTGATAGCAGCTAGGCTCAGCACTCTGCTTTCCAGCTGGGCTGGCACAGTGGTTCAGAACATGATTCTTGATTTGTACCTCCTTCCCTTCAGAGCAGAGAGCGATGTGTGCTCGCGACGGGACATGGATCGACATCATTTGAGGGGGTGATGGAGAAAGAGTTGCCTTGCTCAAGTGACATCCGTTAGCGTACACAGGGAATGTACACTTGGAATACACTTGGAATCTCCAAGATGATTAAGGAACTGGAACATCTCTCGTAGGAGGAGAGACTGAGTGAGTTGGGCTTGTTTTCTCTGGAGAAAAGAAGGTTGAGAGGGGGTCTAATTAATGTGTATAAGTACCTGAAGGGGGAATGTAGGGACGAAATGGGTCCAGCTCTTCTCAGTAGTGGCCAGTGACAGGACAAGGGGCAATGGGTGTAAGTTGCAACACAGGCAGCTCCATCTCCATGTAAGGAAGAATTTCTTCCCTGTGAGGGTGCCAGAGCCCTGGCACAGGCTGCCCAGGGAGGCTGTGGAGTCTCCTTCTCTGGAGATCTTCCAAACCCGCCTGGATGCCGCCCTGTGCCCCGTGCTCTGGGTGTCCCTGCTGGAGCAGGGGGTTGGACTGGATGAGCTCTAGAGGTCCCTTCCAACCTCAACCACCCTGTGATTCTGTGAAAGGGTGAGCGAAACCTGCATTATTTAACATCCCTTCACTGTAAAGGTTTGTCCGTGCCCCAGCCGCAGGTGCTGCTTTCTCCTCTTCCTGCAGCTGCTTTTGCAGGCCATGCTAAGGCTGAGCTGCTCGAAATGGATTGTTCCCTGGCAGCCTCGTTTAAAGCGAATTATGGCCACACATAGGCTTATTATGCAGGCATACAGCAAGGCTTAAACATAACTGCAGTTAACGTATTTAAGTAGGTAGCAAAAATTAAGAATGGAGAATTTTTACTTGATAATGCCTTCTTTGTGTCTGCGTGACTTAGAAAAATAACAAACACTGAAACATCACAGAAATCTCACGGAAGACAGGAACAGAAGAATTCAACATTTGCCTGAACACCCACATGCACACATGAAACCTTTAATTTAAGGGGAAAAGGGGGTAATTCCTGAAGTGCCTATTTACAGTGTATTATAGTGTAACATGGGTCAACTCATACCACCATTCTTCAAATACAGCATCATCATGGTCAGTGAAGGACCTTAGAGATATTGATTCCTTATGTTTTCCCAGGTCTTTTATTACCTCAGTCATTTTGTTTTCACCAGTCAATGAACATGTAACATTTGCAAAACTTCTTCAAAGGTCACAGAACCACCCTATGACCATCATTTTTGGCTGCAGCTGTGGAGTGCTCCAAACAACCTACACATCTCACACAGAAAAACTCTTATCATCCATGTGTCATTTAGGCAGTCTGTGCTGTTCATTGCCACAAGGCCACTTAGTTTATTATTGCTGCAGGTGCCCACTGCCCCAAGAAAGCAAGGGATCAAGCCTGGATTTCCACAG